GAAGGAAGGAAGGAAGGAAGGAAGGAAGGAAGGAAGGAAGGAAGGAAGGAAGGAAGGAAGGAAGGAACCAATTTAAAGTCAGACAGCAGGTTCCTCTGGATCATTTGATTTGGACATTAGAATCAGGAAGATCCAGATCCAGAGGATCCAGATCCAGAGGATCCAGAACCAGAAGATCCAGATCCAGAAGATCCAGAACCAGAGGTCTGGTCTCCACAGGAGGACAAACAGCTGGAACAAACTCACCGTTCCTGCTGAGGCTCGGTTCTGACCCACTGCTTCCTCCTCTTGGTCTCAGAGCCTCAGTCATAGAGCCCACTGGACTCCCTCTGGTTCCGGACGTCTCTGCCTTCCTGAGGAGCAGAACACGGACTTTGGTGGCAAACCGGACTTAAAACCAAATAAATTTACATCTGAACAATTTCAGACGGTTCTTCTGGACCAGATATTCGGACCGGTACCAAACTGAGCAGACAACTGTACAAGCTGCAGTTTCCCTAACCGGGTCAGAAATGTTCTGACACCATCTGAACATGTTTCAGCTAGAAACCCATCGCTGGATTTTGCAGTTGGACAGAACCAGAACCAACAGCTCTGGGCTCCAACATTCGGTCCGTTTCAGAATTCCTGGCTGTTGACGGACATACGGTGTTCTGATCGGGTGAACATTTCTTTAAAAAGGATCGCTAATCCCTTTAATTGTGTTGTTTCCTACCAGGTACGGTTCTAGAACCTCACATAAGTTCAGTCTGACTGGTCCAGTTTGGTGAAACCAGAAGCTGAGGAACGATCTTTTAGATAATTCCTCATCAGTTCATCTCCTAATCTGTAAGATAAACTAACGGTCCAACAGAACCGGCTTTGTTCTGCCCTTCAGGTTCTGGTTCCTCTTCCTCTAAACTTATCAGGTCCAGATTTTCTATTTGATAATAAATCTCATAAAGTCCTGAAATAGGAAATCAGCTAAAACAGGAGAAACCCAAACAGAAATGTTCTGATCCAAACATGAAGGATGGAAACAAAAATAATAAACGCAAAGTTTTCATTTTCCTTTAAGGAAAATTATCCAGTCTAACTTCAGAAACAATCCAGAACAAATGGATCAAACCTACATAATGAATAATGAAGACATTATTACCAATAAACAGAACCGGTTCTACGAGGATCAGAACCAGAATCACATGAATGAACCGGACCTAACAGGTCCACATTCTCTAGGAGTTTCCCAGAGTTCTGCTGGGTTCCTATACTGGTTGACCTGCAGCTCACCTGAGCTCTGAGCCACGATCCAAGATGGAACCGCCTTGATCCAGTTCCGGGTCGTCAGCCAGAACCGAGAGACTAAGACCGGCGAGGGAGAGGATGAGGAGGAAGAGAGACAGAATCAGAGAGAGCGGCAAGCAGGCAGACATGGTGACCGAGTCCGTCGGGACGGATCGGTATCTGAGCAGAACCATGAGAATCCAGGAGCTGCTCTGCCGTTCGTCGCCGACCCATCTGAGTTAGCTTGATTTCCTCCACATCAACGGGTCAGCACCAGTCGGCGGAACAACTCCGGCATCCAGAACACGATGGGATCACAGTCATGCATGATGCACGCCACGGGACACATGCAGGCCCGAACGAACAGGAACATCAAAGTATCAACAGGGGGAGCAATCCAACATCTGATCCGGTCCAATCAGACGACCAGGATTAAAGCTGAGGAACCACAGAGGCATTCCAGTTCGACAAGAAAGAAGGGGATTCTACCTGGACCGGTCCAAAAAAAAAGTCCAAACCTTCTGCATCTAAATCCCACTGACAGAACCCTTCAGTGTGGAAGCTGTTATCTGAAGGAGCCGGAAGAAGAAGAATCATCTAGAAAGGAAACTTTCCACTGAAGGCTGTTAAGCCGGGAATAAACTGTACCATTTTTCCCAATGGTTGCAGGCAGCTACAGCTCACACTGTACGTTAAAACCGCAGAGTTTAAAAGTTCACGATGTTTATTCTCACATTACGCGACCCGACGCTCTGACTCGGTCTACCTGCTCACACTGTACGTCTAAAAACCAGGTGGGACTCAGCTCCGCAGTGAGAAGGAGCTACTTGGAATTGTCTATCCGGAAGCCAAACGGAATATGAAGCTCACTAGAGTGAAACGCGCTGCCTTGGCAATTTATGTAATTTTAAGCTGAAAGCCCTAAAAAGAAAACCTGACTCTGCCATTGGAGCCGAGTCAGGAGCCGTTCACAAAACGAACGTCCAATCAGCGTTGGCTTTGAGGCGGGTTGAGGTGTGACGCAACGAGAAGCGCGACAGTTCAGTCTAAAGAACATGGCCGCTTCAGCCAGAAACTTGCG